AGAATTTAGGGTTAGTGTTTATAATAAAAGAGTATAGGTGGATTTTAGTAGGGTTTATATTTTCAAATTAAGGCACCCAAATTTCAGCATCATCCGATTTCAGCATCATCCCGACATTAAATAATAAATACTTTACAATAGTTATTCAAACAAATAACGAATCATGTTTATTAACAATATTTATTCAAACACAATATTTATTTAAGCAAACAACGAATTATGTTTATTAACAATATTTATTCAAACACAATATTTATTTAAGCAAATAACGAATCATGTTTATTAACGATTATTTTAAAATCTCAAGAAGTTAATCGTTATCCAAACAACTAAATACATGTGAAGAACCACTATCCAAAATAATTATACTCTCATTTCCTCAAGATTCTATTCTATAACCCTCCGAATGACGAATGACTTAATTTCTCATTTTCCCTGATTACCATTTAACCGAGATTCTAATCTTTTATTCTCATCTTGTAAACAATCGATTAGTCGTATAAGATCGTTCTCTGTTTTATCTCTCGCTTTCAAATGGTCATCGTATAATTTGTAAAGTTTGTCATCCGCTTTAACTTGGTAATTGTATAATTTGTTAAGTTTGTTATATTGGTTTTCCCAGAAATTTTTTTGACCCCGTAAAGTTCCAGTCTACAAGAACGAAATTAATAAGAATATATTACAGTATATAATAATATAATAATATTTAAACAAATAATCAAATTTACTTCAACAGTTAATTCATAATTTTCTCTTATGTAAAGCTTTTTATAAGGACTCAACTCTTCGATTTCTGTCTTTAGATCCTTAATCTTTTGATTGTTGTCTATCTCCATACGTTCGATTTCAACATCTAGATCCTCGACACTAATTTTCAACTCCCCAATCTGGTTTTCTAATTCACGAATTTTAACGTTATTATCACAAATTTCTTGTTTAAGTGACTCGTTTTCTTTTTTTAGCCTATCAATAAATTAATAATAATAAATAGTTCAAAAATATATACAATATAAAAATAATAATAAATAGTTCAAAATATATACAATATAAAAATAATGATAATACCTTCTAAATTCTTTTTCGTACACTTTTTTTTCGTTCTGAAAGCTTATATAAATGCTTTTATAATTTGAGGAATCATCATCTTTGATATTTTGTTCCCAACGCTCAAACTTTTCGATTAAATTATCAAAAAAACGATGTTCTTCTGGAGGAGCCGTACGCTTCCTTCTACCAAGATACTTCACATGACTTCTGAATTCGTTCATTAAAAAGTCTTTAGTTATTCTCTCATCTTTCTTCTTTTTCCTAACATT